GTTGCCTCAGTAATTATCATTATTAGCATCTTGGGAAAAGCCATTGACATTTTTAAGGTTCTTGATATTTATTCCCTCTGCTTCCAGGGGAAGTATTTTAAAGACCCTCACTTATGGATTTTTGGCAACATATGCCAAGAGAATTTTATTCCTGCCTCTCAGAGGGGTGTGCCAGACTCCTGAACAACCGTGCCTCCCACCATCCCCACCTGTGTGCCTGTGAGTCCCAGCTCTGCCTGATCTTGACAATGATGCTTTGCTTTGCTTTTTTCTCTCTGAAATTACTGATTTTGACCCCTTAGTCTTCACTGCTGAAACCTCTTGTCCAAGAAGGATATGATTACAAACTGTAGGCCAGGGTGCCGGCCCTGGCTCTCTTGCTTTGATGTGGCAACCCAGGAAGCCTGGTGTTCCCAAGGCCCTGGCTACAGATGAGGAAGGGATGGCTGGGGTGTTCTAGACTTTGCAAGAACAAGAAATAGGCTTTCATTGTGTAAACCACTGAGATTTCAAGGCGTCATTTTAATAGCACAGCCGGTCCTAGTCTGATCAATACCCGTTACCTAGTTTCCTTTTGTTGACATATATTGAGTGGCTACTTTGTGTCAAGCCCTGGGCTAAGTGTTTGTGTTTCCTGGCTCATTTACCCTCCCAATGGTCCTGAGAAGTAATAATGTATTACGGGAAAGGGCACTGAGGCTCAGATAGGTTAAGTGACTGGCCCAAGGTCTGTGGCAGAGCTGAGGTTTGAAGTAGCATGTACAGCCCCAAAGCCTGGGATCTTAACCACTATTATTTTATTTTATTTTTTGGGACAGAGCCTCAAGCTATTCCCTTGGGTAGAGTGCTTTAGCATCACAGCTTACAGGAACCTCCGACTCCTGGGCTCAAGCGAGTCTCCTGCCTCTGCCTCCCAAGTAGCTGGGACCACAGGCGCCTGCCACAACGCCTGGCTATTTTTTGGTTGCAGCTGTCATTGTTGTTTGGCGGCCCCGGGCTGGAATCGAACCTGCCACCTTAGGTGTATGTGGCTGGCGCCTTAGCCACTTGAGCCACAGGCGCCGAGCCTTTAACCACTATCTTTATGCTCTTTAGTCGGGGCTTCTCAAACCATACCACGCATTCACATTTACCTGGAAATCAAGTGAGTATTACTAGTCCGTGGACCACACTTTAAATCTAAGACTTTCAGCTCCCTTGTGTATCAGTTTGAGTACTTGGCCATCCAACCCCCACCTCACTTTGGGTTAGAATTACCACTCAAAGATGTAGAAGTCTGGGGCTATCTCAGCAGGGGAGAAATGAACAAAATGAGGTCTAGAGAGGCCACACAGGCTGTCCTTATCTGGTACCCACCGTGGGTTGTTGGCTGTTGCTCTTGGGGTTGGTTGGGGACTTTGCAGGTGTCGATGACAGAGCACTCCTGACAGTCTCTGCAGCATAAACAGAAGATCTTCGAGGCCAGACTTTGGTGGGCTGGTGTGGGAGGCAAAGGAATGGGGACCATGGGGGCCTGGGGTCTGTTGGAAATTGACTGTGCTACGGGGTACACTGGGTCAGCCTCTTGAGGCTTAATACTCCTCCCCTCTCCCAAATCTTCTGTAGCTACCCCATGGCCTGCTGATCCAGGCCCTTCTGCCTAGGCCACCATTTTTACTATTCTCTACAAAATGTTCTTACCCATGAAAAGGAGTTGAAGCCTCTACTGTGCCAGCTTTGTCTGCAGGAGTGTCTTCTTGTTGAGTCAGCCAAGCTTAAATTTGGGCCCAGTTCTTTGATTAGGGCTATTTCCTAAACAAACATAAGACTTCAGTTGAACAATACTACTAGTACTTTATCTGTGTTCACACTCCCGATGGATCTACACAAAATCCCAGCTCATGCAAAAAGGCACATAAACATGCTCAGCTTTTAGATAGATCTGGGTCCTACCCCATTTCTAGGTGCGTGTTCTTGGGTAAATTCCTTACTCTTTTGGATGCTCTCTTTTATCACGTAGAAAACGAGAATAGCATGATTACTTTGCAGCCGTAAAAGGTTAAACACATGAAAAGTGACCCCTGTAATGCTAGGTGGAAGGTCAGTCCTCAGTCAGTGGTCATTCCACTTTCCTCATTGGCTTCAAATTATCCCAGCTGGTCCAGGTCCCGTGGTAAGGAAGCACGTGGTCTTACAGGTTTAAAACCTGCTTTGCCACTGACTCTCTGTATGGCTTCGGGTAAGTTCATGCTTGTTTCTGTCTCAGGCTCCTCATCAGTAATAAGAGGAAGTTAGGCTAGATGTCTCTTCGAGTGTCTTTCTAGTTCTGATGGTTCAGAATGACAAGTCATGTTTTAGTGCCAGTCTGCTCTCCAGCTCTTTAGATACATCCTGTTCTCACCTCCCGTTCTGTGGCAGAACCTTTTAGGAACCTCTTATCATGGTATGGGTTTGGTGTTCCTCATGACACCCAGGTCACTGTGCAAGCTGCCTCCCTCATGTCACTTGCTTTTCATGTTCTCTACTGCTGTACACTGGCCAGAGCCACCCTCACCTCTGGCCTGAATGACTGCCATAGCCGCCTAACTGGCCTCCCTGTTTTATCCACCCTCGACTCCCTTAATCATTAATACAAAAGTGGGGGTAGTTCTGTTAAAATGTGTGCTGTTACTCTCCCGCGCAGAACTTCCAATGATAGAAAAAGTTGGATACAGTTGATGAAGAAATAAAGTATGGAAGCAAGAAACAAAAACTCTGAAATAGAATCAAATCGAACATCTAATTCTAGAAATACCAATATTTGAAAGAAAAATATATCGGGTAAGGCTAACAACACACTAGACAAAACAGATGAAATGGTCAGTGAACTTGAAAAATGTTCAGTAGAAATTATCCAAACTGAATCAGAGGGAGAGCAAAAAAAAAAAAAAAAAAAAAAGGGATCAAGAGAGCAGCAGTGACCCCAGGGTTCGGGTTACTACCAAGCAGTCTAACACACATGGAGAGACATGTATGCAGAATGTGTCTCAGAAGGAGAGGACCAGGAAAAATATATGAAGCAGTAATGATTTGATGAAAAGCATCAATGTGACACCAAACACACACACAAAGAGAAAAGCACACCTGGGCACATTGTTATCAAATAACTAAAAACCTGAGGAATCAGATCTGGTGACGATTTGTCTAAGGGAAATTGCTAAAACTTGGACGTGGCTCTCCACAAATCTTCACGAGCACGTGTTCTGTCTTGTTAAATCCCAAAAGGTCACTTTGCCTGTCCTATATCCTCCTCATTGTTTAGATGGCCTCTTTCAGGCTCTCCTTGGCCAAGGGATCTAAGGTGCTGTCTACCAGTATAAACTTTTTAACATCTGTAGTGTCCTCTTTCCTGTCTGTCACCTGCATTAAAGTTTCTGCCTCTCTCTAGAAAAACTCCTGCTTCATGTATTACATTAATAGGAATTACTGCTTGTCTCACAGCATTCACTTTCTGTTGTCCAGCGAGCCGAATGCGTATGTGCAGACTCTGGTGCAACAGATGATTAAACGACAAAAAAGAAGAAGAAATCAGGCTGCCTGGTGTCCAGCTGAAAGCCAGATCTCGGTAAATGGAAAAACGGAACTGTGTGTTCAAGGGAAGTCAGCGGCAGTGGTGACAATCTAGACAATATTGGAGGGTCTTTCCTCCAGCTTTGGGTTAGGAAGGACCCAAGGGTGGCAGATAAAGGAGGAGAACAGAAAGGGAAGCTCTCACATCCCTAGGTAAACACCGAATGCCTGGTAACCGTGGTAATCCCTGGAACCTTTTAATCCATGAATGAAGCTTTGTCTCAGTGCCTGTTGTCCTGAATGTAACAGACACGTGTCACTGGTTACACTTCTCAGGTAAAGGTCTGCCATTCTTAAGCATTCACCCTTCTGAAATGTCACCATGCCATGAAGTCAGCACCTCCCCAGGTCCCTATACACCTGCTTTATTCAGAGACTGCCAAGCAAGCCGTTTCCCCTTGTGTAACCAGAAATACTGGGTACGACGAACACTGTTCTGGTGATGGGTACACCAAAAGCCCTGGCTTGCACGTTATACAAGGTATCCGTGTCAAAAAAAATGTGTACCCCCTTAATATTTTGAAATTAAAAAAAAATGTAAACGAGGATGCTGATACTGTTGAAAATATTAGGAAGAAGCTGAGATGGGGGTGTTTCTTGCACTACCAGTGTCCCCCTCTAGAGGGAAGCAGGCACCAAAGAGAAAGCCCCTGGGGTAGTCCCCAGTGGGCTGCGTGCTTCAGGTCTCTGGTGACCCTGGGGCACTTTGGCCAGAACAAGTGGGGTCAAATAGGACGGCTTCTGGATCTGTAGGGCCAGTTCAGCACAGGAGGGGAGACTGGGACACAGAGAGAGAAACAGTGGGGTCAGGGCAAATGAGGGGCAGTGATTGTTTCTTGTAGCAAAATGAATAGGTGCCTAGGAGGGGTGGAGACATTGTCCCTTCTAAGACAGAGATTATCCCCTCCTGCTCTTAGGTCTAAGCTTGGCTCACTCACCTGCAGCTGCAGAGTGGACAGGAGGGTGTCTGTGATGTCACAGAGCTGGGGAGCCAGGGAATGTTGGGGGGATGGGGGTAGGGGGACTATACTGGACCACAAAGGTAGGGAGGAGGGAGGACGTCTTCTGATCACAAGGCTGTGCTGTCTCTATCAGGCTGTTCACTGAGGCACAAGTCATCGAGCCTCTAGGGAAAGCACGGCTGTGCCAGCAGGGGGCAGTATAGCACTGGGCACAGAAGATCTGGGTCACACAGTTGGGTCGGCCTCAAACTCTGTCCAACCTTGTGGTGGTGACTTTAGGATGGACTTCATGCCCCCAATTTTCCCTTTGCAAAATGAGAATAATAATAACTATATATCCTTTATGTACTTTTTAGGATGAGATGAGATCAGTTAGAGAAATATTTAACATGGTTCTTGGATAAAGTAAACAGTCTGAGAAAGGGTTAATATGGGCCAAAATAAAGCGACATTTCTTCACAATCTGTGTTTCCCAAAAGAGGGAAATTGCTTTACATTGGAGCCCTGACAAAATCTCTAATCTTTGGGGACACTCTTTGAATTCCTTTATTTAGGATAACCAAGGACTATTTGGGGAAGCCAAATTAGGTTAAAAGGCTCCCAGTCAGTGCTATCTTTGGATGCTTATTGAGGTCACTGAATACAACAGAAAAGGAAGAAAGTAAGAGATTCAGCCCGGTTTGGGGGTCACTAGGGCGATGTGGGAGAGTGATGTGACCTTACCATATTTGATGACGGGTTAAACAGTCTTTAAAAGCTCACCTGTAAAGCAACACTCTTAAATGGTACTATTGAAAGCCCTCAATTCTGGCTGCAAGTGAAATTCACTTGAAGTGCTATAAAAACTAAGAATGCCTGGAGGCTAATGTCAGATAAACTAGAATCTTTGGAGGGGTGGGTCCTGGGGAGCAGTATGTTTACAAAACTTTGCAGGGGATCCTTGTGTGTAATCAAGAACTACTAATTTCCTGGGGGAAAGGAAGAGCAGAGAGAGGGAAGGAGGGATGGGGGTGGGGGTCTCAGGGTGTGACATACCTCTTGGGGGCAAGACACAATTGTAAGAGGGACTTTACCTAACAAATGCAAGCAGAGTAACCTGGTTTCTTGTACCCTCAATGAATCCCCAACAACAGCAGCAACAACAAAAAAACAACTACTACCTTCCATTGTGGGGACCACTAATTCTACAGATCAGTGGTGGTTCTCTGCCCAAGGCTGTGCATTAGAATCACCAGAGGAACTTTGGAAATGCCACTCTTAGCACTAGCTCCAGGTCAGTAATTACAGCACTTTTGAGGGGGCATTGGTAGTTTTTAACGTTATCCAGATGCTTTTAATTCATAGCTAGTAGTGAAAAACCATTAAATTACAGAGCAAAATTTTAAAAAATCCTTACTTTTGTTGATAGGATGCAAATGGATCCTTTTACTTTGGGATCAGCTTTTCAAGAACAGCATTATATATGGGTTTAAAAGCACTACTTTTAAAATAACTTAGACATGAAGATAATATACTCTGGAAACTTGTGTTAGATGAAAACTATGAACATAAGGATATGTGTGAAGCATTTGAATGAAATTCTTTCAGAAAGTGGGAGAGTGACAAGAGCAATACAAGTATTTCCTAATTAATGCAGTTTATAGAATATGCCGTTGTAAACACATGCAGGGCATTGGATCCTTGCAAATTGATGCTTGGTTATTTCACCAATAGCAGCAAACATATATTCCAACTGGCCAAAATACTTAAAATCTTTGCATGAAGAAACTGAGGTCTTGCCTTCTGTTGGGGTGGCTTACCATTCAGGCATATATGGCATGGTTGTTTACTTTCCCTTGAGTCTAGGAGAAGATATGGGTCAGTCAGTAGGCATCTGTAGTAATTTCTGGTTCAGGTAAAGAATAACAAAATCTTCACTGGAGGCATAGGGCTCAGATGAGTGGGTGGATTTTACGTCTGGTGATTTTAGTGTATGAAGCTTTGGGGTTAGGATACCTGGGTGGGAAGCTTCCTTTCTTTTTCTTTTTCTTTCTTTTTTTTTTTCTTTTGAGAGAAAGTCTTACTCTGTTG